GGGGTTTAGGGGTTTAGGGTTCCACTCAATCTCAGAGCCCAGGTTCAAGAGTTCTCTCTCAAGGGTCTGAGGAGGGTTCTAAAAAGGGTCTTTGGGTCTCTAAGGTTTCGATAGGACTTGCGGGGCTTGGTGTTTAAGACTTGGGATTTCGCATCTAGGGTCCTTTCGGCTTAGGCTTACCCTAAGGCTCTAAGGACTCATATTTAAAGGCTTTTGGGCCCAAAGACCATACTATAGAAGGTTTTTGGGCTATTTTGAGCCTTAGGGTTAGAGCCCGGAGAAAGCTGTGCGCCCAAGTTTCAGATCTTTGTCTGCGCGTGCCTTCCAGGGGGTGAATGGCTTCGGGTTTAGGGTTTAGGGTTTTGGGTTTAGGGGCTCTTGGACGCTTGGTTCCCACGTAGTCCTGTGTACCCGTTTCCGATCATCAAGCTTGAAAAGCGAAACTTCCGAATAAGAAGGGCGAAAGAGTTTTGTCGGCGGACCTAGGAGACTACTTTGTAATTCAGGTACATCTCAGGGACTACACCGGGCTCGTGGCTTCCAAAACGGACGTGAGACTCAGGCTGTGGATACAGGCTCTACCTCAACCCCCCAATAACCTCCCTGTTGAAGGACGTATATAAGGAAATCATAGCAAGGAACCCTTCAAAGAGGTAGGTTTTATAGGGTTCAGGTACAGTTCTGGGTCTGATGCACTCGAGGCATAGTGTGACTGTCAGTACATGCCACAATTACGCAAAGGATGCTTGGGGGAAGCAGTGGTCATGAACGGCTGAATAAACAATGAACAGCATCGGTTTAGGCCGCAAGTGACATGAAAGGAGGTTCAACAGCTGTTGCCTAACCTGTTCACCACTGCTTGTGAAACCGGCGTCGCGATCTGCATACTTGAAGCTTCATGCAAGAACCTTCATCACGGCCTCAACCCCAAAACCTCAAACCCAAAACCCAACGCCCTTAAACGCTACACTGAAACCAATAACATGCCAGCAGGTTGGGGGCCTTTTGCGCACTGGCTGGTCTTGAAGAATGAAGTCTCTCATAAATCCTCGAGACCCCACATAGTCTCGCTTCTTGACCAAACAACCCTAAACCCTAAACCCTAAAAGCTCATCGGGGAACCCTTCGGGGACGCTCCATAGCAAGAACCTTTGCAAGAACTCCGCGGACCTTCAGAAGCTGTCTAACCACAGGCGCCTGCAGGGGTGGTGTTGGGGAAAGCATAAACCCTAAACCCTAAACCCCTAAACCCTAAACCCTAAACCCTGAAACCCAAAACCCCTAAACCCTGAAACCCTAAACCCTAAAATAGGGTTTAGGGCTTGCTAGTGGGGCTCAGGGTTCAGGTCTTGGGATTTAGGCTTCAAGCAGTGCGGAGGTGTTGAGTTCGGGTGTTTAAGGGGTGGAGTGAGGGTTTAGGATGTAGGGTTACCTTAAGCCCTAGACCCTAAACCCTTAGGGTTTAGGGCCTTAGGGGTTATTCCTCAAAAACAAGACTTCGGGTCTTCAGGTGTTCGCCGCTATGGGTTTTGATGGCATTTAGTCTTGTATTCAGGGTGCTTAGTTCACATGGGCAAAGGAGTTTGAGGAATATGGTAGGAGCCTGATTAGGAAACCTTGGGTCTTTATTCGGGTTCTCTTAATATGAATCCTAATACAATCGGGTTATAGGGCCAGGGTTTCTTAATCCCTAAACCCCTAAACCCTAAACCCTAAACCCCTAAACCCCTAAACCCAAAACCCCTTACCCCCGAAAGCCTAGACCCCTAAAGCCCTAAACCCTAAACCCCTTACCCCCGAAACCCTAGACCCCTAAAGCCCTAAACCCTAAACCCCTTACCCCCGAAACCCTAGACCCCTAAAGCCCTAAACCCTAGTTCCTACATTGCCCCTTAAAGCTGGAACAGGACCAGCAAACTCCCCGAGAACCTGGATGCCGAAATGAGTTGTGGGCTTGCCCCAGTGGTTAAAGGAAACTACAGGGTGGGGAGTTTAGGGTTTAGGGGTTTAGGGTTTAGGGTTTTAGGGTTTAGGGTTTTAGGGTTTAGGGTTGAGGGTTTAGGGTTTAGGGTAAAGGAAGCTACAGGTGGGGAGTTTAGGGTATATAGGGCTTCTTTTAGGCTTCTATAGGGTATATAGACCTTCTATAAGGCTCCGATAACCGTAACTACCCACCTGAAAATGTCCTAGACAGTGGTCTTGTTCCGGAGGATTTTTTGCACCAGCGGATGGAAGCCTATCGGGTTTGAAGGAATTGCTTTACCCTAAACCCTAAACCCCTAGACCCTAAACCCCTAAACCCCCAAACCCTAAACCCCTTACCCCCGAAACCCTAGACCCCTAAAGCCCTAAACCCTAGGAGCTTATGAGGACTGTAGGCTGCAGTGGATCACAGGGTTTGGGGTTCCGGTTCCGGCTCAAGGCATGGGTTCAGTCTTCCAGGATGCTCTTGGCTTTAGTGTTTCTTGGCTTTCGGATTTACGGGTTTAGGGGTTTAGGGTTTAGGGGTTTAGGGTTTGCTTTAGCCCACCAAAACCGAGTTGTTTGTAGGTTCTTATTATAAATCCTAATCTGAGGTTTATGGTGGTTTAGGGTTTATTCGAAGTTCAGATGTCTCTACGAACTCGGAACTCCAACCCCAAACGCTCCCTACAAGACATTGCTTTGGGATGCCGGCTTCAGTCAAACCCGGGGCTTAGCGTTTAGGGTTTAGGGTTCAGAAGAGATTAGGCTTTAGGGTTCGGGGGTTTGGGTTTAGATGCGATTAGGGTTTAGGGTTTAGGGTTTATTAGGGTTTAGGGTTTAGATGAGATTAGGGTTTAGGGTTTAGGGTTTGGGCAAGCCCCAGCAGCTCAAGCAAACATTTCCGAACTCGGCACACAGGAGCCGCGACCCCGGCAACCAACCCATCATGAGGGTCTTAGGCTGTAGGAGTCTTAGGTTTCCAAGGTTTTCTTGGGGCTCAGGGCTGTAGGCTTTGATGCATTTTTTGCGTATGGGGTGCGACAAAAAAATCAAGCGCGACTCTAGCATCGCGCAGCCACATCCAACAATCCTAGACTCCTAGACCCAAACATGAACCCCTAACGCCTAAACCCTAAATTCCTAAATACACATATAATTGTGTATCCCGTCACAAGTGATTTATGTAAGCATATGTATGTGTATAGGTTCTATCTGTATAAAAAGATGCATGCTTCTGATACTTGAATCCATGTCGACAGAGGCCACATAACCTTTTTGATAATATGGTTATTTTAGGCTATGAGAGATTTATTTTAAGAATGAGTTATATCCACATTGCGTAGAAAGGCACCGGGGCTTTCTACGAAAACCGGGGCACTGATCATCAGGATGCAGCGATGCAGGTGGTGACCTGCCTCATTAAACTCGGCCATCCCGATGTGGTGGAGCTTCTCTTTTTCCAGCGGAGGCAAACCCTAAAACCCTAAACCCTAAACCCTAAACCTTAAACCCTAAACCCTAAACCTTAAACCCTCAACCTTAAACCCTAAACCCTAAACCAGCTGCTCCCACCTCTCATCTCCTGGAGCCTTGATGCATGCCCTCGCTTCGGCTGCAGCATTCAGAAGCTCCATCTTGGCACACCAAGTAGACAAGCCAGCCATGGACACAACGGCTCCTACAGTTGATGATATACATCCTGCATTACCCATAATGAGGATTATACCAATATTCCCATAGTTTAGGGTCCTTACTAAGGGGCCCTAAACTATGGGAATTATGGTATATGCCTAAAGCTTTTGGGCTTCTGATAGCCCCTTTCGAAGGAACCCCTTAGCGTTTGAACTCCAGTTCCGGCCTGACCGGCGGCGGCCGCGAGAAAAAGGGGCGGATACCCAGCCGAAGCTTCGTCTACCCAGGCGCTGGCCTCTTAGGGTTCGCGAAAGCTTAATGGGATTTTTCTGGGTTTTTCTGGGTTTTCTGATTTTGGGTAGGGTTCAGGGTTTAGGGTTTTATGGGTTTTCTGTGTTTGGGTTTGGGTAGGGTTAACGCGAGAAAAGCGGATCTGCAGGGATTTGAAAGACATAGAGGTGCCTTGTTGAGGAACTCGGTGAATCAGGGGTTTCAGGGTGTCTTGGGGAGAAGTGACGCAGATGCTGCGGTGTTAAGCATTGCCTGGAATTCCGGTTTTATCCTTCGGGCTAAACCCTAAACCCTAAACTCTAAACCCTAAGCCCCAAACCCTAAACTCTAAACTCTAAACCCTAAACTCTAAACCCTAAACCCCTAAAGGTTTAGGGCTTTCGGGACTTGAAGGCCCCCGTCATGAAAGTCGGTAGGTCTAGGGCAAAAGGGTTTAGGGGTTATAGGGGTTTAGGGTGTATAGGGTTTAGGGTTATGGGGTTTAGGGTTATAGGGGGTTAAGAGTTTGGGGCTTTACGGGTTTAGGGGTTTAAGGGTTTAGGGCTACAGGGTTTAGGTGTCGAGCTCAGGGCTTGGTCGATGGCCCTTTTCGACGCATGCGAAGGGTTTCTATAGCTTTCGGCGAGGGCATCTCTTCCATTCTCTGAGGGCGAAATGGCTCCATGATTGAGGTACCGTCGCCCTGTTCTCCCTTAGTTCCGGTGATTTCTAGGGTACGTCGGGCTTCTCTGGTTTCGGCTTTCGGGCTTTTGCTACACTATTAATAAAAGGAAACTACAGGTGGCGAGTTTAGGGTATATGGAGCTTCCATAAGGCTTCTATAAGGTATATAGACCTTCTGTAAGGCTCCTATAACGGTAACTGCCCACCTGAAAACGTCCTAGATTAAGAGCCGAAGACCCAAGACCCCCACACCAAATGCCCGCGGCCGACCTTGAGCAGCACGCGCACGACTTCCTGGTGGCCTTCGGTTTAGGGTTTAGGGGTTTAGGGGTTTAGGGTTTAGGTTCTAGGGTTTAGGGTTTAGGGGTTTAGGGGTTTAGAGGTTTAGGGTTTAGTGGCTTTGGGTTTAGGGTTCAGGGTTTAGGATCCTGGATTTGGTCTTTCACAGGGGTTTTCGTCATCGGTTTAGAAGCCCAGTTCTTACCTACATGGTAAGCTACTGGGTCATGGGTACTCTACGGCTTACATAGGGTTTAATTAAGGGACAGTAGCCCACTGCATAGATAACTGGACTCCGAATGTCAGCTTTTCTCAAGCCTCGTAATATCCAAAGCCCCAAGCCCCCGAAACCCGACACCCTAAACCCTAAACCCCTAAACCCAAACAAAGCCCAAGAAACCCGAAACCCTAAACCCCTAAACCCTAAACCCTGAACCCCTAAGCCCTAAACCCCAAGGCCCCGAAACCCTAAACCCTAAACCCGTAAACTCTGGCCCACAATCCTAGAGACACCCGAGCTCGATCCTGCGCAATACCTGGGGCCATGATGCTTGGGAAAAGGTTTTGGGCAACTTTTGCTATGGGGTTTAGGGCTCTTTGGTTTAGGGTTTAAGGGTTAAGGTTAAGGGTTTAGGGGTTAGGGTTTGGGGGTTAGGGTTTGGGGGTTAGGGTTTAGGGTTTAGGTACCGTTATGGAGGGACTGTGTGGGGCTTAGAACACTGACGTCACGTAAACGGCCCTGCCTTGTCTCGATGCTAGTGCCAGCGGCGTGCCATTGACGAGGCCCAAATTCCTAGCTTCCGAAGTTTCGGGGGTTTATAGGGTTTAAGGTTTAGGGTTCGGCATTTGGCTCTCTTGACGGAATCCTTTGCCGGGCCAAGAAGCTTAAGCTTGGGGTGTGTATGGTTATAGAAATCCGAAGCTTGCGGGTCTATAGGGTCTAGCGATTTTTGATTGGGGGTTTAGGATTTTGAAGTCGACTAAACCCCACCGGGTCCCACATACACATCCATCTCTTAGCACTCCAAGGACCCTAAAGTGCCCTGCACATCTCACTGAGCCATAGATGTTTCTTTCCCAAGGTCTTGGCCGCCCCCGAAAACTCTTTCCACCGCTCTAAAGTCCGACACCCGGTGCAAAACGAAGCCGAAAATTCGAAAGCCTGAATGCACTCTGCACCCGAAATCCGCCGAACCCCGTAGAACCCTAAACTTGAGTTCAACCCTCAGGGTTCCAAGTGCCCAAGAATCATAATCTATAAATCTATAAAGATAAGGGGTTTTTGGCCAAGGGCTCTTTCAAGGGATTAGGGTTTAAGGTTTAAGACTTTAAGGGTTTGGGGTTTAGGGTTTTATGACTACGCCCTCCAAGTACCTAGCTTTTAGGGCTTATGGAGTTGATGGCTCAATCAACCCTAAGGGTCCAGATATACGATTATGATCATAAGAATGGTCTTGGTTTTTGGGTTTTTGGGTATAGGGTTTAGGGTTTAGGTCTTTTGGGACCTAATTCCACAATGGGTAGTATATGTGGACCCTATGGGTAATATACTCTCCCAAAGCTACATAAGTACTCTGTGTCTCTTTCTCTCTGAAGCCCACGGGTCTTTCCAGGACCCTCAAGTGCACTTTTATAGCGCCCCTGTGGTCATTCATCGTGGGTAGTTTGGGCTGTATTAGAGGGTAGTTGGGGGGGGGAGTCCAGGTCAAACCCCTAGACCCTAAACCCCTAAACCCCTAAACCCCTAAACCCCTAAACCCCTAAACCCCCAAACCTGAAGCCCCTAAACCCTTGAGCCCAATCCCCTCAACACGGACGGTCCAGGCTCGGACCCTTAACCTTAAAGCCTGAACCGTTTCGACATCACACCCTAAATCGCTTCGAACTTAAACCCAAAACCCTAACCCCTAAACCCTTAACCCTTAACTAGGGGTTTTGGAGCTTCTGCCCTTTGCCCAGGCGCTTGTTTGCTCCCGCTTCGAGCAGGAGACGGACCATCTCCTTGACTTCGGGGTCTCGCAGGGGCTTAGGGTTTAGGGCTTAAAGCTTAATTATAAGGTTTAGGGCGTAATTGTAAGGGTTAGGGCTTAATTATAAGGGTTAGGCCTAAGGGTTTAAGGCTTTATTACAAGGATAAGGGTCAGGGCTTAAAGAATGAGGATGGAAAAAAGAGAAGCGGAAACGCAGAAAAGCAGAACCGCAGAGGAGAAGAAGAGCGAAGCAGAAAAGCAGAGAAACGGAAAAAGCAGAGAATCAGAAAAGCAAAATGGAATTGCAGACTGGCGCCCATAGGAAACTCAGCCTTCCAACAAAGACTACGTCGAACAAAATCCGACGGCTGGTCAGTAGGTGACAAGTCGTTCGGATCTGTTGCTCTTATGCCCTTGGACCAGTGGCTCTTCGTGTCTTTGCCGTCTGTGCCATCCTGATTATCGAGCCGCCGGCCATAAGTGCATCTATCGTTCTTCGCTGATCTCCTGAGGCATCAGGAGATCAGGGGTATCGCGACGGCCCTGGCGGCCTTCTCCTTTTCCACGGCGCAGAGCGTGGAATCGGAAATAACGAGGTCGAAGCCCTCGTGCGATCAGACGTTCCTAAACCCTCCTGCGATCAAACGTTCCTAAACCACGGGCAGTGTCCGCTCACGACAGCCTGTCCTCCGCCAGGTCTGCGAGCTGTGCGTCACACGCTGCTCGCATGCCTTGGTCACTGAGATGCCACCCGTCCGTGAAGTAGGCGTGACCTGTGCAAGCGCGACACATTGGATCCGACTGTGCGCTGCATTGCCCGCCTGGCAGACGAGCACATTCGAGGATGTCTGCGAGCTCTTCTGCTCGCCCATCGGCGAAGGCGCTCAGGACCTCAGAGCTTACAGGCACGCAATCCTGCTGAGTGGCCAGTCTGAGCACCTCGTACTTGGCGATTGCGGCC